CCCTTGAGTTTAGCATCGCAGCGTGAATCAATTCCAGCATCACACACTGTAGATCCAGCCACCTCTGAAAAAGCCCCACTTATGACCGCGTGAGGCTTTGGGGCGACATCTAGAAACAAGCCCTAACAAGTGTCGATTGTAACTCCCAGGCACAGGCTTTGGAGATGCAGTTGGCAGGAAACCCTGGATTTCAACAGTAAAGTACATGCACTGAAGACTTTTATTCATATTCCAGACTGAAGTCTATATTCTGTTGTCTACAGATTGCTGTATTCATGTGCATAATGGTTGATAGTACATAATCCCAAAATTGGCTCAAACAAATCATGAAGTTTTTTGAAAAGTAATTCCTTTCTTTCCACCAAGGAACAACTCTCCTGTTAGTCTCTAAAACTGAGTATCTAGGGCTAGGGACATAGCTCAGTGGCACAGTGCCTGCCTGGCAAGCACAAGGTCCCAAGTTTGAATCCAGGTACCAAAAAATAATTAAAATAAAATACTTAGGTGACAGTTTCCCTGTTCTGCCCAGGGTTTCTTCATCTAGACAGATTTATGCATGTCTGTGGGAGCCAGGGGGAACGCCATTTCTCATGACAGGCAGAAAGGCTTTGTGCATGGTCATGCCACCTCTTCCTGCAGGGGCACAGAATGATGGAGGGTTATGCGTGAGAAGGTGTTAGCTGTTCTGCTGCAGTGTGGGGCAGACTGCCTCCCCCTCAACACAGACACTTAGGAACAAGCCTTAGCGTGGTCAGTGCAACCCATTGGACCTTCTTGCCTCAGCCTCTCGCTCTTGAGTCAGAGCCTCTCCCTGCACAGTTCCGGGTGAGCTGTGGGAAGAAGGTTTTCTTTTCATTGTGCCTAGAAAAGGGTCATTTTGGCTTCAATGTATGGAAGAGAACATCTTTGTAGGAGAACGTTTATTGCTCACAAGCATGGGATGGTGATTCTGCTCATGTGGCACAGTGGTTTGGGCACCAGTCTTGGAGGTAGGGGTGCTTGCTTATGAAAGTGACTTGGAATCAAGGATGCTAAAAGTCATGTCTCCAAATATCATGACATTGAAAATGTGGAAGCAGGAAGTTGTTTTATTTTTAATTTAATTTAATCTATTTATTTATTTTTATTTTATTTTATTTTATTTTTGTCTTTTTGAGACAGGGTCTCACTATACAGTTCAGGCTGGCCTTGAGCTCACTTTGTAGCCCAGGCTGGTCTCGGAATCACAAGGATCCTCCTGCCTCAGCCTCCCTACTGCTGGCATTACACGCATGTGCCACCACGCCCGGCCATTAGGAAGTTGTTAATAAGCCCAATTTGGAGAAATACTTTGAGAACATTTTCATGGTGAGCTCCAGCTGGAGAAGTTTGTGGGTGAATTGTTTAGATTTGCTTGTTTTTTGTGGTACTGGGGATTACACCCGGAGCCTTCACACTGACGTGCATCCTTAGCACTTCTTCACATTTTACTTTGGGACAGGGCCTCCTAAATTGCCCAAGCTGAGTTCAAACTTGCAATCCTCCTGCCTCACCCTCCCAGAGTGCCAGGATTATAGGCACACAACAGCTCAAGTTCATGTTTACATTGATAGCTTTCTACTCTTTCTACTAAGTTTTGAAAACAAAATTCTTCCCTATGCTAATGAATACCACTGTTTTCTGAACATTATGCCAAATATACTAGTTTCCTATGGTTGCTGTAACAGACTACCACAAACTGTGTGGCTTAAAATAAACAGGAATTTATTTTATAATGGAACTGGATCCTAAAAGGCCGAACCCAGTGTGTGGGCAGGGCCACACTCCCCCTCCACTGCTCCCATCTTCAGGTGGCTGCAACATTCCTTGGTTATGGCCACAGCACTCTAGCCGCTGCCTGTGTGGTCATATTGCCTGTTCTTTGTGTCAAATATTACTATTATTATTTTTTGTTGTGGTAAAGTACACATATATAGTGCACTGGCATTCACAATACTGTGTAACCATCACCACTCTGTTCAGTTTGTAAAATGGAGAGTCTACACCCATTAAACAGGAATTCCCCATTCTCCTCTCCCCAGCCCTTAACAACCATCACTGTACTTTCTGGTTCTGTGACTTTTACCACTTGAAATACCAGAGCAGAAAACTACCGTATTTTGTGACAGGCTTACTCCACATAGCACATCTTCAGGTTCATCTGTGTGGTCACATATGTCAGAATTTATGTCCTTTGTAAGCTAAATCATTGGTAGTCTTCATTCTGCTTATCTATTCCTCCACAGATGGACATTTCCATTGCTGCTATGTTCCAGCTGTTGTGAATGAGGCTTCTGCCTCATCTTATAAGGACATTAGTCATTGGATTTAGGCCCCACCCAGGCACCCAAAGATCAACTCAGAATCCTGATGTTCAGCCCAGGAAGTAAGGCCTCATCTTTAAGGCACCACTGTTCATCCTACTTCACCAAGCATAAAGTTTCCCTTCACCTTGTCACTTCACTGACCCCGGAACTGAATCAGTTCGATGCAGCTCCTTCCTAGGCTACTGTTTCTGGATTCTTTGAAAACGTATAAACCAAGTGTACTTGAGCTAAGTGTCTTAAAGCTAGCCTCTCTGTCTCCCCCAGTCAGGTACGACCGCCCTGTTCTTCGCTGCCCAGCAAGGCCATAATGACGTTGTGAGATTTCTCTTTGGATTTGGAGCATCCACAGAATGCAGGACCAAGGTAAGAGAACCTTCTTGATTCTATACCCTGTTGGGAGAATTTCAGCAGCCACAGCTACCAGCTTTCTCCCCATCTGTGGTACAAAGTTATGCTTCCCGTTTGACAAGATTCTCAAGTCAAAGGAAATAGGTTTCACAAGGTTACCTGAGATGGTTCAGGAGAGCCCTAGGGATTCCATTACAAATGTTACCTTTTTGTTTTGGACACAAAACTGAAGAATTTCATGGGGAATTTCTTAGACTCTCGCGCTGGTTGCTTTCTACACTGGGACACTAAATTTTACAAGCAAGAAAGGTACAATGGCGGGTGGCTCCCTGACTTCTGCTGGCATGCATCTTCTGCTGTTCCCATGTGCTTTGTTCTATTTGAAGACTAATCTCAGTACAATAATCAGAATTGGGGAATCCAAGAGTTTTCTAGAGATGGTGGTTTGGCAGGCAGCTTGTTTTTATGAGATACCCTTACTGAAAGATATAATACATAATTACAGTTTATATAGCTGGCCACGGTATTATGGTCCTTTCTTTAAGGAAGTTGTTGATTTTCTTTCTTTCTGTTTCTTTTTGTGGTGCTGAAGACTGAACTCAGGGCCTCATGCATGCCAGGCAAGCACTCTAGTGCTGAGCTACATCCACAGCTCTTTCGAATTTTTTTTCTAGACCAATTGCTTCAGCCTCCTGAGTAACTGGGATTATAGCCATGCACCACCATTCCCACTTCATTTTTGACACACAGAGAAGAGAACCAGGACTGCATAAAGATCAACTTTGTGTTCATAATCACTTTACATGATATTTTGTAGTAGGAGAAGGTGAACTACCCTAAGAGTTTTGTAATCATCAGGTTATCTCTGGACTAATCATAAAACAAGAGTTCTGAAAAATTTGTCCAGTTGGAAACTTTTAGGTTTTCTTATCCATTGTATGTGGTACTTAGATAGGAAGGGACTTTCCAGTAGGTTTTTTTTTTCTGTTAAAATGCTAACTATTAAGTAAGTCTGAATTTCATACAGGGTTTCTGTCTTTTCTAAACCTTGCTGCTGGACAGTGTGCAGGCTTCCAAATATAGATTATGATATACAGTAATACAAAATATATTTTATGTTCGTATTTTCTATTTAAAAATATTTATTATATAAAATGATGCATGTAAAAATAGAAAACTTCATGAACTTAAGTTCTCAACTAAATCAACTCAATCTTGTGTTGCTGTCCGGCTGCTTCAGTCTTCTTGCTTAACAAGTTAATAGCAGCTTAGAGCCTTTGTACAGAAGCCGGGTTTTCCATCCTGGAAACTCACAGAACACAAGGCCCAAGAGGAGCAAGGCCGCACATTTCCATGAGGTCAGCGGCAGGTGCCTAAGAGCTTTCCATGGCAAGAAGAGTATTGCGAGACCATGAGTTTTAATACTATCCTGTCATCAAATGGACTTTATTTCAACAGTTCCTCTCTTTATGATTACATCTATAAAACTTACAATCTAAAATTGTATTTTTAAAGATGAAAGATATTCCCCTATCTTAATTACTTTTACAATTCTCTTACCTCTTTAGTTAAAGAGCTAGGAAAATTGACAAGAGGAACTCAGACTCAGTGGTGCCCGTTGCTGCTCGTACGCAATTGCTTGATGCACCGTGAGGCTCAGCCTTCTGTCCTCCACTCCTCCCTCTCCTCTCCTCTCCCGCCCTTCAAGGCCCAGCTCAACACCTTTCCCCGCTAGCTGGCCCATTCCTTGCTGGGGTTTTCTCCAGCTGTGTGTCACCTAGGATGTCACTTGGTGATTCTTAGGTCTCATGAGTGTAGGTTTTTATTGAGATAAGAATTAGAGATATGAGTTCAGAAGGAAAAACAAAATCACTCTATTGGAAAGGGAAAGGAAATGGAGAAAGAAAGTCACAACATTGGAAAAAGGGAGAGAAATAAGGAGGTAGATAGCTACCTTGGAAGAAGGTGGGAGTCCAGAGCTGGAGCTCGGGGGACAGATGCGGGAGAAGAGGTCTTCATTCTCAGCCCCTTTTCCTACATGGTGAGAGAGGGACTCTCTTCCTTGAGAGTTGTTGGAACTTGGGTGGCTGTTTTGAGCTGTGAGACCCCTGCTTTGGCCACGCCCCTTCCATCATCTGTATATAGATTTTTGGATAAACCCCTCGTTGGTCTCTTTGTTCTCCAGGAGCTCATCTGATGAGATTTACCACAGAGCCCCATATTTAAGGATGAGTGAGCAAAAAGAGATATATGTACATTTTAGTGTACTAATCTGGTGAGAAAATAACAAAATATGTATGTACTTATGTTTAGCATAGGTAAAGCCTAGGTGTTAGTGCATATTTTATATACTGAGGGTTTTTTAAATAATATAGCCCCCCTTCCCCTCCTTTGTTTCTTTTTGTGCTTATTGGAGGTGAAGAGGGGGGGCATGGAGCCCCGCCAGAAGTAGACCAGGCCTTCTTCTCAGCCCTCTCCCTTTGTTTTTCCTAGCTACTCTCACTAGCAGGGGCTTACCTCTTTATTTGTCAGAAACCTCCCTGAGGCCCTTTAACTTTCCTGCCTGTCCCCCACCTTCCCCTGTGCTGGGAACACCGGAGCTCTTACAGCAGTGTTGTCATTGGTGAGGCCACTTGCCGCCTGCTTACTGCAGTCACCCACATGCCTGGTCAGAGGCCGATTTCTGGGGCTAATTCCTTATCTCCTGAATCAGACCCTCTGCATGTAGAGTGCTCTTGAGCAAACACACTATTCCTGAATATAGAAAACATACCGTCATATCTATGATTCATTATTTTGAGCCAGATTTAATGTTCTTGAATTATTTGTAATTAGTTTAAACATCCGCAGAACCAAACAACTCACCCATCTTAGATGGGGGAAGATAATGCCCTGTAACACCTGAGAGAGACCATTAATTCATGTATGCCAAAGGTTGCACTTTTTTGAGAGTTTGCATGAAATTCATATATTTTACCTAGAAAAGGTCAAGGAACAATAATTTGAAAAAAAAAAAAATCTGTATTGCGTTCAATCGTTAGGTGCTGTTCCAAAGCTGGAGCACTGGGCATAAAAGGATTAATGGTTCTCATTGACCACAAAGTCCGTGATCCAGTAGTGTGATGTGGTTGGTAAGAGCTAATTTTTAGGCTGCAGAGATGAAGTAGAGTGGATTGAAGAGAGAGAGCCTGCTCCATATCAGAGCACACTGACTTTACAATGCCCTACTTGATGTTAGGGCCCGAACTTTAAAAGAGACCTGGACAAATTAACACATGGTGAGAGAGAGAGATGATAAGTAGGACAGAGAGAGGCACAAGGAATGTGCTGTCATTACCTGCTGTCTCCTAATGGAAGCAGTGGCCTCAGAGCGTTACCCCACAGAAGCACCTGAGACTCAATGCGTTACATCTCCTTGGCACCAGGGGAAGGAGCCAGTGTTTGTCAAGAGGGTGTCTGGCCAGAAGCCATGGGAGAAGCCAAGTGGGAACTGATAAGACTCGTATAGACCTTCTGTTTTATGTTTCCCCTCCAGAGGCAAATGGATGATTTGCATTTGGTATGCAAAATTTCTGAATTAATCACAACAACTTGGTGAAATAACTGTAATATATCTGTAGTGTGTCATTGAAGTATAAAACATAACCATGTCCTTAAAATGAACCCTGCTCTGGAAGCCTGGCATGGTGGCACACACCTGTAATCCCAGCACTTGGGGGGCTGAGGCAGGAAGATTGCTACAAGTTCAGGGCCACCCTGACCTACCTAGTGGGTTCAAGGCCAGCCTGAACTACATAGACAGACCCAGTCTCAAAAAAAAAAAAAAAAAAAGAAAACAAAAGAAAAGAAAAACACCCGATACGATTATAAAGTAAAATGTATAAAAGGAAGAAAGTTGTTTGTTGTGATCTATGGGAAAGTTCTCTTCCAAAGATCTATCTCTATGAGGAGCATCTGCTTGGGAAACACGCGCCTGCACTGCCTCCAACACATTTATACTTTCATGTCCACAGGATGGGGGCACTGCCCTGCTGGCTGCCAGTCAGTACGGGCACAGGCAGGTGGTGGAGACCTTGCTGAAGCATGGAGCCAACATCCATGACCAACTTTACGTGAGTGTGTTTCCCGGGGACATTCGGGATAGTCTCTCCTTCCTGTGATGTGGTTAGAAGAACTGCCCTAGAAAGAATCTCCAAGAAGTCTCTGCCTGACATTCTCATCACACATAGCAGCTGGAAATGCCAGCTTGAAAAATACACTACAGGACACTAGGCAGCAAGCAGCCGCTTTCCTTCCCTTACATTGCATGCAAATTATCTGCCCCAGTGCAGGTATAGCACTCACATCCATAATCCCAACACTGGACCATGGATCAATCATAAAGTCTAGAAGCCCGCCCCATGACTGCATAAGGCTCTGGGGGGACGTTCAGACACAAACCATAACAACCAGCTGAAGACTGAAATGCATGTACACTGTAGTGTAGACCTTTGAAAGGCTTCCACAGCTAATATGGGTCTCTTTGCAGCTAATTGGCACTTAGCACGTCACTCAAGGGCTCTTTTAATTGTCACTGTAATTCTATGGGATTTAAGGCAAATGTCATTCCAATTTGTAGGAAAATTTTAAAATAGAGAGATGAACTACCTTGACAGAGTTTCATGGAAAGAAGGGGAAGAATTTCTACTTCTAATTATCTAGGAATCTCATTTTAGGCTGTCCTACAACTAGATATTTAGCCCCATGCCTGGGGCACTATGTTTTCACAGCCCGGTGATGAGCTGTGTAGGAGTGAGCGGTTCCATTCAAATACCTTTTCCAGAGGTTACCTAGTTAGCTCTGACAAATCACAGGCTCTTTGAAGTGCATAGCAACTGATCTTAGCCTCAGAACTGCAAAATCCACAACCTCTTTGAGTCTGCAGCGATACCCACAGAATGACTGACTTGATAATAATCTCAAGGAGTGATTCTCAACTCTGGCTCCCCTTTAGAAGGATCTGGGGAGCTCCGAATAGTTTTCAGGTAACCAAGCTGGAATCTCTATGGTCACAGCTTGAGCAACAGGTCATTCTGACATGTGGCCAAGCCTAAGAAATACAAGTCAAGGTCTGGCTATTTCTTTGGCTATATATAGCTAAAGTGTATACAAGTGTGGACACTAGTGTATATTTGTGTAGCTTGAATAGGAAGAGCCCAAGTCTTTGCAAAAGCAAAGTTAGCTGTGATTTTTATACCATGACTATTAATAATTAGCAATCCAAATGAAGTGTGGGTATGGAATCTGTACTCATAATATTCTCCCAGAAAGCTCTTGGGGTGACCCATAATCTTAGAAATATAGAATTTGGGGGAACCCCTCCCCACCATGAATTCCTCTCTTTTATAAGATGATTCAAGAAATTTCATGCACCATAACTTCCATTTTACTTTAAGACCCTTACCCTAACCCAGCTAGGTGAAATATTTCTGCTAAGAACAATTGAAATATGGAGGGGTGGAGACAGGGGTCAAGGGTTCCCGAACATTTCTAGCAACTGAAGCTTACAATGCAGTGAAAAATCCAGTGCAACGATAGTCTGTTTCCAAAATTCCTGAGAGTTAGCAGCTGCCAACGGCACGTGAGACTTTTGGGGGCAACACATTGAGGAGCAGCTGGAAGCTTCACCCCCGTATCAAGCATCTGCTTAAAAATCCACACAGGCTGAGTAAGATTTGTTTATTATTGCCTTGTGTTCAGTCTGGCAGTGCATCTGACACCCAGCGCCTCCACCTGACAAGCCTGCTTGGATGTGCAGGGCATGGTGTTTTCCTTGTGGCTGGTGCTGCCCAGGGGAGGTACAGTAGTCAGTGGGTGTTTTCCACTGGACCCTGCTCGAGTTTTCTACCACAGTCTAGGAACCGTGACGCTTGCTGTGCTTTTGGATAAAGTGAGCGTCCGGGAGAATGAGTGCCCTCAGCTGCAATTGCCCAATGACGTGTTTGCGAGAGAAAACTGCTCAGAAGACGCAGACCCCATTAAAAGGGAAAACTCAAGACAGCTGGAGCGCTTCTTTGGCTTCGTGCAGGATTTCCCTTTTGTGTTTCTAGATATTGTTGGTGGCTACAGAGAGAGACTTCTTGGAGATTCTTCCTAGGACAGTTTTTCTAATCACATCATGCCACCTTTTTTCTATGTGTAATTTTTTTCTTTCTGTGGTGCTGGGGATTGAACCCAGCGTGGTACAGGTTAGGCAAGTGCCCTTCCACTGAGCCACGCCCCCCAGCCCATCACGCCTTTGCTACTTGGCAGCACTGCACCCTGGGAGATGTGGGTAAGACAGCATGAAAGACAAAAGGGGAGAGAAGATCCAAGTGAGAGGACACTGTGCCCCTTCTTCATAAAAACACACAAAACAGGTTTGAGGTATTTGGCTTTCATACCTAAAACTTAGCTCTCAGTTGACAAAAGGATAGAAACCTAAGCAGGGATGAAAATGGAAAGTTATATTAGAACCTACATTTTTAGTTTATTTTAAAATAAATATGATACATGATTTTCAAACACTTAATTTGTACCTCCCAGGATGGAGCCACTGCCCTCTTCCTAGCCGCCCAAGGAGGTTACTTGGATGTCATCCGATTATTGTTGTCTTCAGGAGCAAAAGTCAACCAGCCAAGGCAGGTAATGTGCGCCGGTGAGCCCTGCCTGAGAAGGGGAGCATGAGGCTGGGCGGGCTGGGGGCCTCTAGCAGCGCATACCTAAGATAACCGGCAGCTCCAGCATCCTCAAACCCTTTGGCCTCTGCCATTGAAAGTTAATCTTTGAACAGTTTGTCTTGTTCTGTGCTTCGGAGTCCCCAGAAAGGCTACGAAGCAAGCTGATGTCACGGTGTTGAATCTTGAGTATTTGGTGTCTGAGGTCACATACACATTCTGCCACCTCCTGTTCAAATAAATTATGGCTCACTGAAGTGATGAGTGTTGGCCAACCTGGGACAGAGGTAAATAGAAGCCTGGGCCCTGCCCAGGCCCCGGCTGATCTGCTACCTTACCTCCTCCACCACCTCTGCCACCAAACCAAGCAGGAGCCCACGCCCTTGGCATTGTGAGTGGGTTCTGCACCTCAGCTCACACTATTGTGGCGCTGTGTATTGAGACCTCCTTTCCCAACAGCCTGCAGATCAATTAGCTGGGACTGAAAGAAACAAGATAACACAGGCAGTGCTTTAGGAAGGATCAAGAGCCCTCCGAACATAAGGCAGTAAAGTCAGTTGTTTGTACATAGGAATTACTTCTCCCCAAGTATTACTTTTGAACAAAACATTTCAGATCAAAGCAACAGTACTGTAAAGATAGTTCTTTTAGGGAAAAGTCAAGCTGATTTCTTACTAGGGATGCCTCCCAGGCAGGTTTCCACTGTAACTGATCAGATAATTAATCAGAGGTTTACGTAATGAACAGCTATGGAAACCTTCATGTTGTCTGAACTCTTGGCCACAGGCTTCTTCGGTCTTCAGAAGCCTAAACTCAGAAGAAACCTGAGGAGAGAAAGAGCCTTTGGAGCTGGGAGTGGTGGCACACACCTGAAATCCCAGCACTCAGGGAGGCTGAGGCAGGAGAATCACAAGTTTGAGCCCAGATTGGGCAACTTAGTGCCTTAGAGATACCCTCTCTCAAACAAAACAAGAAGGAAAGAAACAACAACTTCTAAAATGCTGGCGATATAGCTCAATGTGAAGGACCTGGGTCCAATCCCAAATGCAGAAAGAGAGATGGAAAGAAGAGGAGAGGAGAAGGGAGAGGGGCGGGAAGAGGAGAGGGCCATTGTGTGGTAGGTTGGAGGTCAGGGATGTGAAGTTCTAGATCCAGCGCTTGTATCAGTAACTTGCTGTGTGGTTTTGAACAGGCAAATCAATCTCTCTTGGACTTTATCTGAGAATTAGGGCGCTGGGCAGGATGAGCCTGACAATTTCTTCAAGCTCCCAAAGTTTTGAAAATTGTTTTATTCAATGTTCAGTCAGTATCTCCTGAGCATTTATCATGTGCCAGGCACTGCTATGAATATAAGACTATGTCATTAGGATTTTAGAGGTCTTCTTAGTTTTAGACGGCCGCAGAAATACTCTTGGAAGAGGAAGAAGTTTAGGGGATGTTGCGCCATCAGCCCGCCAAAGCTGACATTTGGGGCTAGGAGTTTAGTATTTTCTTGTCAGTCCTTATTTTGAAATTATTAATTATGAATCAGAGGCTTCATTTTGCCAAAATTAATGAAAGGAAGCGGCTGCTTACAAATTTTATTTTGAGGCCACATCAAGTATACCACTATAAACTTAGACATGAGATATCGCCAAGCTTATCAAGTCTTTACCAGTACATCCTTCCAAAGTAATTACTGACACTTTGACCAATCTGTTTGTAAAACAGATATTATTCATACGCTTACGGTATTATTTGCTAAAGCACACACATACTTCAGGAATAGCGGGACATGCCTATAATTCCAGCTGCTCAGGAGGCTGAGCTAGGGGCTTGCAAGTTTTGAGTCCAGTCTGGGCAACTTAAGACCTTGTGTCAAAATGAAAGTTCAGGGGACAAAGCTCAGTGGTAGAGCAGCTGCCTAGTGTGAGTGAGACCCTCAGGTGAATCCCCAGTACCACCAAAAAAAAACAAAGCAAAAAACCCAAAGTTGATATAAGAGACGCTGTTTCAAATGTTGCATAGATAGTGTCCATTTGATGCTAACTTAACTCATGTGGTGACACTAAACCCAAAAAGCCAAGAATAAGCTTGTATTGCAGGGGTAATCACCGCACAGTGCAGCTGTGCTCATTCCTCAAGGGTGAGGAAAACCTAGTCAGAGGGTGGCTGATCTGCGGGTGAAGAGAACCTGGTTAAGGACTGAATGGCTCTCCCTTCCTAAGATGACTTTCTTTTTCCCTCAGCCTGGGGATAGAACCCAGGGCCTTTGCACTGAGCTACATCTCACATCTCAGCCCTTTCTTTTTTCCAGACAAATTCTCACTAAATTGCCACACGGGGCTGGAACTTGTGATCCTCCTGCCTCATTCTCCTAGAGTGCTAGGATTAAGCACATGCACCACCACACCTGTTTTATTGTGGTTGGTGTGAATCTAAGAGTCCAGCTCTACAAAGACTGCTATTAAGGGAAAATGTTCTTTTATAAAATAAGAACTGCTTGAGCGGGGGAAGTAATGGAATCTTTCCTTTTCACAGAGTACACCCACATGATTGTGCTCTCAAATCATAAACAGTATACCTGTAATCCCAGCACTCGGGAGGCTGAGGCAAGAGGATCGTTGTGAGTTTGAGACCTGGGCTACAAAGTGAGCTCAAGGCCAGCCTGAACTGCATAGCAAGACCCTGTCTTGAAAAGACATAATCAATAAATAAATAAATAAACAAACAAACAAACAGTTTTGCTACCTGCCTTGGGTTCATAATTAGAGGCTGTTACCTATCCATGTCAGTCTAGTTCAAGTCCTGCCTTCTCTGAAAGTATAAATTCTCTTGACTTAATCTGCTTGGAGAAAACAAATACCATAAATATTTAAAAATTGAAATAATGACAAAGGTGATACCAGTCCTGTCTGACTTGGTTCCAAGTATAAGGAGTTTTTTAAAAAGAAGTATAATTAAAAGTTTCCATTACGGTGGCCTGCACACAATAGGGCCATTTCTGTTCTGAAATCTCCACCGACACATTGAGTTGTTATCAGAAAATTCTTGAATTCATCAAATAAAGACAAAGATATTTGCCTGGCTTTATTTCTTAATGTTTGTCGATGAATCTGATGTATAATTTTATACTCCCATTGTATAGGGTCCCACCATTTTATTCTCTTCTGACAGGCTGTTTACAAAGTGACAAAGTCACACTGCCAGGTGTGGTGGAACACTCCTGTAATCCCAGCACTTGGGAAGCTGAGGCAGGAGGATCGTCGGGAGTTTGAGACCAGCCTGGGTTACAAAGTGAGCTGCATAGTAAGACCCTGTCTCAAAACAAACAAACAAAAAACAAAGTCACACTGAAATTACTCAGCTGACATTTGATGCAGCCTACAGAGAATCTGAATGGTGGTAGGATGGCTTTCCTCCCTAACTCTGTCATGGAGAATTAATGGAGACCTTTTTTTTGTACTTTGTGCTGTGGAATCATAATCACAAAGCAAGCCACAGTCAGAACAGCGATGTTCTTGACTTGAAACTTGAAAAGATTTCCATTCCATGTTGTGTTAAGAAGTTAAAGAGTTTTGGTCAAAACTCATTTTCATTTCTTTCCTTGTGTCCTCACCAAGTAAAGCTTTCCATCACTACCTGTTATACCTTGCATCAAACCTTTCATCAAACCTTTCCATCACTACCTGTCCATTTAGTCAGATTTTTCTGTCAACAAAATGCCTTGACATGCTTTTTCCCAACTTAGTTCACCTACTTTATTAAAACAATATTTTTTTCTTATTTTTTGTTTCTTGAGTCAGGGCCTCACCATGTAGTTCAGCTGGCCTTGAACTCATGAGAATCCTCCTGCCTCAGCCTCATCAATGCTGGGATCACCTGCATTGAGATTAAACTATTGTTAAAACAATATTTCCTGGAGTGGCAAAGATCTGGCTGTGTTTACCCAGAGCTGGGGTTGGCCCATCATCAGTGCTGTCTAGCCAGTCCTCTTCATGTGCTAAACTTCTTCGAAGTCCTACAGAAAGGCCCCCTAGTAAAGTCCCTCTAGAACAGAAGCCTTGGGTTGTGGGGCTGTGCATTTGCACACGAAGTTGCTGGGACTCAGTAAATGCTCTCCCAGGTCACAAGCTTGGAGGAGCGAGCCAGAGCTGGGCACTGGGAGGAAGAAGAGCCAGCCGACTGGCATAGCGGTACCCTGAGGGTTTGGAGACAGGAGCCCCCAGCCACAGGAAGGCCCTGCTGCTCTGCTTGCGGAGGGTGGGGCCCTGTCTCAGGCCCACTGCACTCAGTAGACCCTCAGCAGAGTCCTGACTGGGAGTTAGCCCCGAGGCTGGGCGAGGCAGTCTGAGAGCCTGAAGCACAGGACAAGCCAGGCCTGGACACCAGAGGAAGCTCTGGATGCAGGGCTCAGGCACTTGGAGAGCACATCAGCCCCGGGAAAACTGTCTGGGGCAGCCAGGGAACCAGACGCCAGTCTCTGGGAAGGGAGAGGCTTGGCTCTTAGGAGGGTACAGATGTCTAGAGGCAGTGAGACACAGTAGTCCAGTTTTAACTACATGACCTCACACCAGTGTTTACTTTCCCCGTACCTCAGGTTTGGTTTGGGTTGGGGGTTTTTTGTTTTGTTTTGTTTTGTTTTTTATCATCTTGAGACAGGGTCTTGCTATGCAGGCTGGCATTGAGCTCACTTTGTGGCCCAGGTTGGTCTCAAACTTGCAATGATCCACCTGCTGCAGCCTCCTGAGTGCTGGGATTACAGATATGTGCCACCACGCCTGGCCTTGGTTTGGTTTTTAAGAGTAGGAAAATTTATTGGAGAAAAGGAACGGGGATAGCTCCTGAGAGACAGAAGGGGTCCCAAATGGACTGCAAACAAGCCCACTTCTCAAAGGAAGTTTTGTAGAGCAAAATCATGAGGAGGGTATAACATGGGTCAAAATTATGATCAACCAATAAGATCAGAAGTACAGTCACTTAGGTAGTATTGATCCAGTGGCAGCAAGGGCATATGGATGGCATAATTAACCTTGGTCGATAACCTATAGTCTTGTTTTTACTCTTAGTCTTACTCTTAGTGGTTTTAGGCTTAGTCTCAGTGTCGGCTGGTGGGAGAGGATGGCCCATCCCTAATGAGACAATAGGAAATCCCAAAGAAGTGATACCAGTAATCTCAAGCTCCCATTCATCCCTGAGGGAAGTATGAAGATCTGGCCTTTATGACCTTAATCTTCTTCAGCTGCACCTCCAGCTACAGTCTCGGTGTGTCTCTATCTTCTGCACTCACTTCCTTAACAGCCTAGCCCTGTCTGACAGTCCCGCTGCCTACAATATTTCCACCTGACTTAACTGTCTGTAATATCCCCCCAACTGTGGTTAGGGGAGAAGGTGGCATAGTTTCCCGCTAGCTGCTTCAAGCTGGAACTTCGGTTCTTTTAGTCTGTAAAACCAAGACAATAATGGTATCTGCGGTGGGCTTGCTCTGGTAATTAAATCTCTGCAAGACTCTTTTCTAACACAGTGGCTCCGGGTCAGGGTCAGACTGGTAGAAAAGTTGTCTTGAGACTGAACTCCATCTGCTACTGCTGAGTGTCTTTGCATCCCTTGGGCCCCCAACTTAGGATAGAACTGGCCCCTAAAACTGGCACATGGAGGTCACCCAGGCCTGAGGCAGTAGACCATTGCTATGGAAAAAAGATGGTTTTAATTATTTTCTCTAAGTCTGTAGGAGCCTAAATAAGCCGATATAAGATTAGTTTCTAACAAAGTTCATGTCATATGCTTCATCTTGTGCTGTGGTCTACCTACAGAATATGTTAGAGGATCTTGAATATAAGAGAGTTGGAAGGAATTGCAGAAGTCACCCTATGTAACCATCCTTTTGTTGTAATAATCTTTCTGTAACAATCAGCCACTGTTGGTCACCTCCAGCCCTGGGAAACTCATTACCACCTCATCGGCTCAGTCCTAGCCAGCTCTCAGTGTTTCCTCCTTATGTTGGCCCCAAGTCTCCATGGGGCTTTCATCCATTGGTCCTCTTTTTATCCCTTGGTCTGCAACATTAATCTACATCCCTTTCCACTTAGTACGCACACAGATGGTAAGTAATAGCCTCTGTGTCCCCTTGAATCTCATCTTTAAGCTAGATGCTCTAGTTCCTTTAAAAGCAAAGTGCTGTAGAGGTCCTAACTTCCTCCTCACAGTGATTTAGTTAGTTTCATCTGTTTTAAAACCATTTTTGTCCAGAAGTATCCAAAACCTTATTTAAATATTTTTAAATATATTTTTCCCATTCTGATTTTCTCCAAAGCTCTACCAGGAGGACGTAAATTGATTCATTTTCCATTATTTTCATTATGAAAATGAAGGCACAGACCATTATAATGAGCGGGGGAAACAGATTGAGGTGTACAGAAGAGGAACACCACTCCTACTCACAAATTGGTAATCAGTTGATAAACAACTTCATTTGACAATATTGTTTTAACTTCCACGTGATTCCTGGGGTCTGGAAAGTAGATTTGGAGGATTGCCAATAATGCAGTATGCAGGTAGTCCCCAAATCTCCTTTTATCATTCTCCCTACCTGTTCTTCAGGCAATTATCTCAGAGTCATGGGGAGAAACAAATTAAATAAAGCAGGTGGAAGTACTTGGTGAGCAAAAGTACCAGTTAAAGCGCTTAATGTATTTCATGATAAGTGATTCTCAGATTCATTTAACATTTTCTAAGCATCTATCAGCCAGTCCTCATGCAAACCACCTCTACATGTGTTTTCTCATTCAATAATACTCTTCAGGGCTAATACTTTTGCATAAGAGGGTGCAAAGCTGGGAGGCATTTGCTCCATCTCACAGCCAGGAAGTGGTGACTGGTTTTCCCCCGAAGTGACTGCCCTGATTAAGACAATGGATCTGAGTGTTCCCACTGCTGTTACAAATTGATAATAGGAATAATTGTTCCCAGCAGGACATCCCTGCACTTTTCTACCTGCAGTTTTACTAAAACAAGCAAGCCCTTGAAAACTCAGCCCTGCCTGCCCTCTGGTGGAGCTCCACAGGGAGCAGAATGGACCCAGCAACATTTCAGGCCTCTGTGGAACCCATCCTGCTTCTCTAGCCCTGAAAATCCTGCCCACACCCTGTGCCATAACAGCTGGGCAGCTGCCCTGCCTGCCAGGCTACACCTTCCAAGCCTCTGTGGCTGCATTTGACCTGCCTTCTTCCTAAAATGACCTTTCTCTCTCTGCCATCAGACACAATCTGGGGCCTCCTTCAAGTCCCAGCTCAGACATCACCCCATCTGTGCAGCAGACCCCAAACCCGCATAGGACACAGTACAAGGCCTGGTTCGCTGTGTGCTTTTGTTGTCCATACTTT